ACTCACCTCTTACATCAGGAAGTATCCATGTGTTTCGAGCTTTATCCATTCTTTCATAATCCGTTGTTGAACTGTGATCAGCAGAAGCTTTTCCGGTTCGCGCCTCACTTTTTTTACAGCAGCGGGCCAAAGCAATCTCCTAACACATGGGTTTTTTGCTTCCTGATCACGTGATGTGTGACGTATGCGGATGAAGTACGGCTTTAGAGCTGAGATGTTTGTTCTCATGGTGCGGGGGCTTGTTCCGACGCCTACACAGTAAAAAAAATGCAAATGATGACTTTGGCAGTGAACGGCTGGATTTAAAATGACGACTTTAGTCGTCAATGGCAGTGAATTAGTTAATTTAAAATCACACACGTTGCAATTTTCCCAAAGCGGATTCCACACTATATATAAACTTTGTCCGCCCCTTTGATCATTTAGAAATTTCAGTTGCTGGGAAATTTCCACAGGACATCCAATGCTATGTGCATGTTCATACTACCAGACCTGTAGAATTAAAGCTGTGGTCCGTGGCATGATGTCACTGTAACCGAGCCCTCCAGAAAGAGACAGGAGAAGATATAGGATTGTGGTTGCTCAAGAAAAGGTTGATCACCGTGAACTCTCAGGGTCGCTTTATTTAAACAACACCATTAACAACTCCGCTCCAGCTTCTGTTGTTTTTCTCTCTTTTTTTAAACATCACATCCTGTCAGCAGCACCTTCAAAATAAAAGTCCCATAAACATATACATGTCTCCCCCCACACAAAAAAACGTCCACGTTTTCAAACAAAAAAAAAACATGAAAAGAGAGAGGAGAGAACAAAAAAAATATTAACAATAATAATAACAACAAGTCAAAACCACATCATAAACAACGACCCCCATCAACTGCAATAAAGCATAACAACTCACAACAAAACATCATACACAGATCCCCCAACAAGGGCCCATCACCAGAAAAAAAAACCTCAAAACCCAAAGTTTCTTTCATTTTTTCCCCCACAACAGTCAATAATAAGAGACAAAGTTCTTAAACCAACCCGGTGGTCGAACAGCCCTTCCCGCACGTGAAACAGTCCGAGATGACCTAGCCTCCATCACCTCGGTCACCTCGTCCCCGAGCTGCGAGGATGCGTCCAACGTGGGACACCGACGGACCCCTGAGGGTGGGACAGGAATCAAACCCAAGGTGTATGGTTTCAACCGATCGTAATGAACCACTTGGGGGGGGGGGGGGGGTGCTCCATCACTGAGGAGGTCACCAGTGCGATACACATGACCCGTTACCCCTTCTGAGTCCAACACAGCTAAGGACCTTGAAGGGACCCCTCCAATGGGGAACCAGTTTCTTCCTATCCTCCCGAGGGTTATGAAGCCACACGAGATCCCCCGTCGAGTATGGCTGATGGCGGGTACTGGTGTCGTGATAAAGTTCTTGTTTCTCATGAGCCACTGCTGCATTTTGCCTCGTGTTGGCAAAGGCCACCTCCAACCGATCCCTCATAGCCGACACAAAGTCCGCATGTGACGGGGAAGATCAGAGGGCACTGCCTGCTTTGGAACCAGCACATCCACTGGAACACGAGCCTCCCTGCTGTGGATCAGATAGTAAGGAGTGTACTCTGTGCTTGCATGCACGGTCGGGTTGTATGCAAAAGCTACTTGCTTCAAATAATCGTCCCACTCACCCCCACAGGACAACAATGACTTAGCCAGCTGATCAATGAGCGTACGGTTAAACCGTTCTACCATACCATCTGACTTGGGATTGTATGGTGCAGTACGCATTTTATCAATGTCCAATAGTATACACAGTCGTTGTATAATCTCCGCTTCAAACTGTCGACCCTGGTCACTGTGAACAGTTTCAGGGATGCCATGCAACAGTATATAGTCTTCAAACAAACACTGAGCCACGGAGTGAGCAGTTTGGTCCAACCGAGCATACAGGTTGACAAATTTAGAGAAATAATCTTCTATCACCAGCACGTATCTGCTCCCCTTTGATGTCACTGGGAGTTCCAGAATGTCCATAGCAACCCTCTGAAAAGGGCGAACAGACTCCACACCTCCCATCGGGGTATGATGTTTCGGCACAGGACTCCTGCGAGTCTGACACGGAACACACTGCTCACACCACTGGTGAATGTTCTTGAGCATAGATGGCCGGTAACAGAGGCCTCTAGCCCGCTCCCACACTTTTTCAGCAGAAAAATGTGCCGCTACTGGACCGCCGTGCAACTGATATAAAATGTCAGGGACCAGGAATGCAGGTACGACCACCTGATACAGTGCTTTCCCTACCGGAGAAGAGTTCACAGTTCGGCACAACAATCCATTCACCAATGACAACCTCAGGAACTCAGTCCACAGCTTTCGGAGCCACTGGGAGCCACCCCTCACTTGTCCCCGGGCTGGACGAGAGCCTCCCTGTTCCAACCAGTTTAGCACCACCCTGATATCGGGGTCATTCTGCTGTTGCACTGTTAAGGCTCCCGTGTCACTCAATAACCCTGTCAGTTGCAGGCCTTCATCCTTAGACTCAGGGTGTCCGGGGACCGAGCCTGGTGGACCCGAGACATGGGACTGGAAAGGTGTGTCCACCACATTCACCACTGCAGTAGCACTGTCCACATCCCGATTGGGGCGCCTTGAGAGCGCATCCGCATTTCTGTGTTGTTGGCCCTGTTTGTGCTGCAACACCCAGTTGTAAGGATCCAACTCCAGGATCCATCGAGCTCTCTTCCCCGACGGATTTTATCAATGGCCAAACCTCAAAGCCCCAATAGCGGTTTGTGGTCCGTTATTATGGTGAAGGTGGCGGACCCGAGGTAGTGTCTGAACTGTCGAATCGCCCATACCGCCACCCACAGCTCTTTGTCAAACGTGGACCAGCGTTTCTGGGTGCTAGTCAACGACTGGCTAGCATACACCACTACTCTTTCAAGCCCACCGTGATCCTGAGCCAACACCGCTCCTACAGCTTCCATAGAGGCGTCCGTGTACACTTTAAAAGGAACAGTAAAGTCCGGCATGGCCACCACTGGGGCTGACGAGAGCACTGTCTTTAAATACTCAAAGGCTACATCAGAGTCCTCGTTCCATTCAAATGAAACACCATTACATGTTAAATGATACAGTGGAGCAGCACGATGAGCAAAGTCTTTGACAAATCGCCGATAGTAAGAGCATAAACCGAGAAAAGCCCTCACCATGGGCGACTGTGGCGTGGGCCAGGTTTTCACCTTGTCCGTGTTTCTGGGGTCTGGCTGTAGACTGTGACAGGAGACTAAATGGCCCAAGAATACCACATGATCTCTGGCCAAGTGGCATTTAGGAGGGTTAAGCCTCAGACCTGCCGCTCGGATTCGAGAGAACACCTCTCGCAACCTGGCTACATGCTGTTCGAACATAGGGCTAAATATCAACACATCATCTAAATACACCATACACACGTGCCACAGGAGCCCCCGCAGAACCAGCTCCATCATGCACTGGAAGGTGGCAGGTGCGTTAGTGAGACCCATAGGCATAGACTTCCACTGGTACAGGCCCCGCCCAGTAGTGAAAGCAGTTTTTGGGCGGTCCTCCTCGGCCACATCAATCTGCCAGTAACCATTGGAAAAGTCCAAAGTACTAAACTAACGGGACCCAGTCAAAGCATCTAGCGTATCATCCACCCGAGGCAACGGATGGCAATCTTTTACAGTGACACTGTTCAACCGTCGATAGTCGACACAGAATCTCCAGTCACCGTTTTTCTTTTTCATCAAAACAACCGGAGAGGCCCAGGGGCTACAACTCTCTTCAATCACCCCATCCACCAGCAGGGTCGTTACCTGTCTGTCTATTTCCTCCCTCTTGTCAGGCGAGGTCCGGTAAGCCCGCTGTTTCAGGGGGTATGGTCACCGGTGTAAATGCTGTGTTTAATAAGGGTGCACTTCCCTGTCACTGCTCTAGATTGGCTAAAAATATCTCCATATTCAGTTAGCAGTGCTTCCAGCTGTCCCATTTGTAATGGGCTGGCAGCAGAATCCATCAGCGACATGTGGGGGGGGGGGGGGGGGGGGTGTCTGTCAGTACCGCGGAAGGCACCGTTTCTCTAAGGGGGGTCACTACATCCCACTCCTCTACAGAAAATAACTTGCCAAGATGTGTACCTTCTCGTAGCATCATGTCTTGGCTGGTAGGATTAAGCAGTCGAGCCGTAGTAACGCCTTTGTCTACCGAAGCGAGAGTATGAGCCACCACACACTCACTCTTACTTTGAGGATTGGGTTCTAAGTACCCGACAAATGTGGGGAGTTGTCCAACCGGCCGCGCAGGAGAGATGTGTACTGGGACCAGCATCTCACTAAATGGCGGTAATGTTAGGGGGGACGTAAGAGACACATTGCAGCAGGTTGGAATCAAATCCTCCTGTTTCAGCAACTTCACATCCATACCCCACAACTGCAATCTACCGCGGCCAAAATCCACCAGTGCGTGATGTGATGTCAGAAAATCCAGACCCAACAGAGCTGTCTGGGTGGACTTACGGAGCACATGAAAAACGTATTGCCACGACTGAGAGCCCAACCGTGAGGTAGCAGTAACCATCCCTAATGTATCCAGTAACTCCCCATTTACTGCCTTGGCCACAATAATATTCATTCTGAGCGGTCGTTGGCGGAGAGCTGGAATAGACTGGCGAAAATCTGCACTGATGAATGATTCCGTGGAACCTGAGTCAATCAGAATGTTCAGTTCAGTACCTGCAATGCTCCCTCGCATGTAGGATGAACATGGTTCCCCCGTCGGGGAACAATTCACCGTGTGCTCCCGGTGTGGTAGATCAACATCTTCTTCCCAAGACCCTGTAGGTGTCGTAGCTGGTGTCTGGGCCATGACAACAGCTACATCCCGTTTCCCCACTGCTGCACAGGCTCCTCTCGCCCTGGACAGAGGCATCTCACTCCTTGGCTGTGTCTCAATTCAGGGTCTGCATCCTACGTGGGCCGGATTTGTCGGCCGGTTACGTCACAGCGCCGCGACTAGGCCTGTCGCAATTCGAAGACTCCTTCAAATGTGGTCGACGAATGCGGCCTTCTTTTCGCCTGAATGAAGGATGGGTCCGGTGTATCCTTCAACAGGTAGCATTTCCCAAGATGCCTTGCGGGCCGGCCGGCAGAAAAACTTAAAAACAATGGCGGACAGTGAAGCGGGAGCTGTCGGAGAGGATTGCGCATATAAATGTAAGTATAAACTTGAAAACTGTTAGGTTAAGGACTTTTTGTGATATATGAACGTTATTTTAGTTAGAAATGTTACAGTAAAAGTGCTTGTATTGCGGTCTCGGCTCGTATGTTTGGCCGCTCGGTGTTGTACTTCTCCCGCTACGTTTCCCCCCTGATTTTAATAGAAGTATTTTAGGAACAAAAGAGAAAACCAGGGAATTTATTAAGCTTAGGGCGGAGATGGACCACATGATCACCGGAGCAAAGTATTCGGTGGCTGTGGCATGGAGGTACAATAACATCTCATATTTTAAAAACTCGTTTGAGTTTATTTTTTTCTGCGAAAACATGAAAGGAATAACCCGTTTTCCTCTTTTCTCTTCCTGTTTCTTTTCTTACATGTTTGTTAAGACTATTCTGGAGAAAATGGGCATCCAGGAGAAGGTGACAGCGATGACCAGCTTCTGGAGCTGCTGATCTGGGAGGACATGAGGCTGCAGAGGGAGGCAGAGGGCACAGGAGAGAAGGGAGAACTTTGACAGGCTTTTTACTTTGCTAGAAAAAAATGGTTAATAAAGATTAAACATGTACATATAAAAGAAATATCTAAATAAAATCAGTTCTGCATTAAACTCTTGAATTTTATTTTGGTTTACAAATGAGAATTGTTTACTAGAGGGTATCCCGCTGGGTCTTAAAGTCTAGGTGATAAATGGGTTTTGGTCAAATTAAGACCCTTAGAAAGTATTAAAAACTATTATCACATCTTTGCTCAGGCTCAGCTAGTCGAAAGTATTTTCTCTGAATTAGCTCTCCAACAGTCAAGGAAATGATTAAAAAGCTAAATAAAACTTCGAGCTCCATCGTTTAAAGTTCCTTCTCCCTTCTGCTCAGCGGTTCCACGGTTGCTAGGCGACGGAACGTTCGCCGAGGGAGAGGCGGGGAATTCATGAAGGCTAGGCCTGTCCAAATTCACAGCCGTTAACATCCGGTCTACCCGGCCGACGGAGGACCCAGCCCACGTCGGCCGAGTAGGCTGGGTCCTTCGAAGGATGCAGATCCTGAATTGAGACACAGCCTTCGTCGTCTTGTTGAACCACCATGTTGGGTGTCCTTCCGCCATTCCGGGCTCTGGCCCCTCGGCGAACTAGAACGATCAGCGTAAGGAGATGGAGAGCGTCTTCTTGATCCAGCGTCCTGGTCGGTGCGGCGCTCTCACCAATTTGGAGTATTTGGCTGATGATGTGGGTTATACTTGGGACGCAGAGATTGGCAGCCAGGACCCCCACAGTGGCACCGACATGACTCCAACCGGGGGGAGGAATAGTCGTTGCTACTCTCTCGACCCTTCAGTCTCTCGTTCTCATATGACAGCCTTCGAAGGTCTTTTCTCATTTCCTTCATCTCCTCTGTCAGCTCTTCCACCAGGGGCGGCGTTAGGCCCAGCTACTTGGGCTGAAGACCCGGATCTTTAATCAAAAGCCCCGGATCTCAAACGTGGAAGTAACATGCAGTATCAAAGTCCAACAGAGAGGGAGCAGCTAGCAGTAGTTTGTATACAGCCTGCCTGAGCCTCCACCACTGAAGAAGAAGCCCTTCAGCAGCCGGCTTCTTCTACAGTCTCTGCCTGAAACGCATGAGTGAAGATGAACATAAGGACGTTTTTTAGACCAAAAGTACCGCGACATAACCCCAGCTTTGATGATACTGGTGTTGACTCAGGTTTGTGAGTCTTATTTGAAAATATTTGTTGTGCTGCTGGTTTGCCTAAAGTTAGCTTACTATCAGGTAAAGTTGATGGAGAAAGAAAGGGAATATTTACTATCATCTCACACTAAACACTAGCAGGAACAATATTCTGCCCTGAATATGCTTAATATGTAGCTTCAGATTAAAAATTATGTGGTACAAGACAAATATATATGTCGACTAGTGCGTGTCACGTGTGTGTGCGCGTGCGTGTGTGTGTTAAGCCCCGGATCTTCTTCAGTCCTTAATCCGCCCCTGTCTTCCACTACTCGCTGCCAGCGAGGTTCCTCCGAAACAGAATGCACTAAGGCGGTTGCACTCTTACTGGGAGGAGCCCCCCCAACAGGATGGGGGTATTCACTCTTTAAAGTTTCACGTGTTATATCACAGCGGCCTGCAACGATTAAGGCTTCCTCCAAATCAGTCGCTCCCTGTTCCTGACACTTAGCTCGGAGGCCGGGATCTCGTCCTGCCAGGAATCGGCGAAACTTTTCTTCCCTCTGAGCAGCTTGTCCATAATTAGGGAAAGCTTCATCCACCAGCTTCCCTACATCAGCCGCATAGACATCTAGACTTTCATCAGCGGCGCGACGACGAGCAGCCAAGTTAGCTCTGAAATTGTCCAGAAAATGTTGTTGTCTGAAGGCTTCCTGCAGCCGTTCCTTCACCGCGTTGTAGTCTGCTTGCACTGCCGCAGGTCAACTGTCCCACAGCAGGAACGCGGCTTTGGACAGTCTGGTGGGCAGTATTCGAGCCAGTTCATAGTCATATGCACTCTCGGCACCCGCTACTAGTGCTCTCACCGCCACTTCATATTGACGAGGCCAGCAAGAGAAACTCTCCCCATCCTCTCCGGAGAACACTGGCGGAAGCTCAGTGTTCACGCTGCTAGTGCGTGGTTTGTCCGGGTGGGAGAGCCTGTACTCCAGTGGGTCTTCATCACATCCCCACATAATTCCTGGAGATTCAACCACTTTCTACCAGTAAACGTATTGTTGTACGTCCTATCTATACTGGTACAGCTAAGCTCACCGTGAGTTAGCAGAGGCTAACTTCAACAAGCTAACGGACTCAGTTACCGTCACTGGAAAATAGCTGGACTTCGGCACTGAAACAATCCCACCGCTGCCACCAATGTAACCGAGCCTTCCAGAAAGAGACGGGAGAAGATATGGGATTGTGGTTGCTCAAGAAATGGTTGATAACCGTGAACTCTCAGGGTCGCTTTATTTAAACAACACCATTAACAACTCCGCTCCAACTTCTGTTGTTTTTCTCTCTTAAACATCACATCCTGTCAGCAACACCTTCAAAATAAAAGTCCCATAAAAGTGGGTTACATCACCAAGGAGTAAAGGAAAAGATTTTGAAATTTGAAGGGCAATGGCTCTCTGTCCTCTTCTGGAAGGAGCTGAAATTCATGTCTCATATTGTGCACACACCCACAAACAGCGCAGTTGCACTAACAAAGGTTTGCTATGGTCACGTGTTTTCAAAATGTTTCTTAAATACACCTGATACATTGCTGAATTGTCCCCTCAGCCATTAATTGGGCATAATAAAATCTGCAATTTTCAAGTAGGGAAGCACCTGAAAAGTGGCAGGAATCCAGCTGTTGCGATGGTAGCATACCCCTGCTAATGCTACAACTGGCTAAATTGTCCAATATAGCGTTGAGCTGAACACTACTCTAATCACTTAGCTCCAATAAACGAAAGATAAATCCCTTTTCATCCCGATCCTCCTCTTCCACAGTTAGTTTGAAGTTTCTAAACTGACATCAACTCAATTCAGATGAAGTTTGCATGCAGGCTAGTTTGGTTTGCTAAGTGTGCATTAGTATGTCTCCCATTAGAGTGGTAGAGTGTCTGCCCTGGGACTGGGAGATTGGGGTTCCTCCCAAATACTTTAAAAATGGGACCCAGTGCCTCCCTGCTTGGCACTCAGCTTTAAAGGGGTTGGATTGGGGGTTAAACTACCAAATGCAAGTTCAATTCAATTCAAGTTTATTTACATTACACCAACACCAGCCCACCCACTCACAAACACATACACACACACAACATATATACCAAGTAATGTTTCTATGGTTACATTGTGATTTCTTAGTAAATATTCTATTTGGCGAGAGATAAACTTTATTGTCAGTTCAATTCAAGTTTAATTTTAAAGTGCCAAATCACGACAAGAGTCGTCTCAAGGCACTTCACATAGTTAACATTCCAATACAGGTCAGTTCATTAAGCCAATCAGAAAAACGTTTCCTATGTAAGGAACCCAGCAAATTGCATCAAGTCACTAACTAGTGTCAGAGTCTTTACAGCAATCCTCATACTAAGCAAGCATTTAGCGACAGTGGAGAGGAAAACTCTCTTTTAACAGGAAGAAACCTCCAGAGGATCCTGGCTCAGTATAAGCAGCCATCCTCCATGACTCACTGGGGATGGAGAAGACAGAGCACACACACACACACACACACACACACACACACACACACACACACACACACACACACACACACACACACACACACACAACATATATATCAAGTAGTGTTTCCATGGTTACATTGTGATTTCTTAGTAAATATGCTATTTGGTGAGAGATAAATTTATTGTATTTATCCTAGTGAATCTATAATTAAACAGGTAAACTAGTAGTAGCACATTCGAGGTCAATCAAAGTAAAGTATTATTATCAGGAGAGGGAGAATGTTTATGGTTATCAACAGTGTTCAAGCCAATGGCCCCCACCATGAGGGCACCACAGCTCAGCAGAACATCACTGTAGCTTCTTCTGGGGAGAAAAACACTTAGAGAAAAAATGAAGTTAACAGCTGAAATAGCAGGAAATAATACAGTTAAAGAGTAAATTGTAGAAGAAAGTAGTCGAGTGTGGAAAGTGGTCAGTGTATCCTCCAGCAGTCTAAGCCTAAAGCAGCATAACTACAGAGATAACTTTGGATAACCTAGCCTTTTAGATGGAGACATGCTGGAGGCAGGGCAAGGGAGAGCCGTCTTTACCGACTGTACACTCCACTTCCCTCTACTCCCCCACTTGTCCAGATCTAGGCTAACATCAGATTTTAACCATAGGCCCTATCAAATAAAACTGTTTTAAGCCTAGTCTTAAAAGTAGACAAGGTTTCTGTCTCACGGACTGAAGCTGGGAGCTGGTTCCACAAGAGAGGAGCCTGATAGCTAAAAGATCTGCCTCCCATCCTTTTTTTTTTTGGATATTCTGGGAACCACCAGTTAATTTGCAGTCTGAGAGCGAAGTGCTCGGTTAGAAACATATGGAACAATCAGATCACCGATGTATGATGGAGCTTAATTATTAATAGCTATATATGTGAGAAGGAGGATCTTAAAGTCGATTCTGAATTTAACAGGTAGCCAATTTAGGGAAGCTAAGACAGGAGAGATATGAGCTCTCCTTTCATTTCTCATCAGAACTCTAGCAGCAGCACTTTGGAAAAGCTGAAGACTTTTAACTACATTCTGTGGACTTCCTGAGAGTAATGAATTACAGTAAATCCATAATCCAAAATGCATGAACTAGTTTTTCAGCATCACTCCTGGAAATTATGCTTCTAATCTTAGCAACATTCCGAAGGTGGAAAAAGGAAATCCTACAAATAGGGTTGTCACGGTATGAAAATTTAACCTCACGGTTATTGTGACCAAAATTATCACGGTTTTCGGTATTATCGCGGTATTTTTAAAACGGTGTTGCATATGTTCAGAAAGCATTGATAGTCCTGTTCTACACAAACTGAAATAGTTCTGAAAAGGTTTAACAGTGTTTATTAAACCTAAAATAACACAAAGCCTTAGCAAAAGTGCAACTTTTCACAAGTAAAGGAACAAATAGCTTCTTTTTCTGGAACATGTTACAGTAGTCAGTGCAGGTTTAAATTATACAAATCCAAACATTCAAAACATAAACAATATGTAAACAAATCAAAGAAACACCACTTGTTTTCTCATATACTTGTTTTCTTCATTATCAAAATGAAAATCTAAAACTCCAGTCCACACTTGACTTGAGCACTGTACAAGTCAACCTTAAAAAATATGTATTTAAAATAAATATCCACTTTAAACAAATTACTAAAATAACTACTACACTATGTAATCAAATCCAAATGTTCAAGTATAAATGGCATTGAATAAGTAAACAAATCCATGACAAGGAACTAATTGTATATTTCTCTTCATCATCAACAAATAAGATGCTTCATCCAGCAACAGGGTGTCCGTGACACGGTTTAAATGCTGGCAGAG